AGCAGGAATTCTGTGTAAGGCTTGAAGCAGGTATAAAAATTCATCTTCCATACCGAGAAGAAATTATTGGACAGGGAATGTTTAAATAGACGCGATTAGGGTTTTTTTTATTTTTTTTATTTTGGCTTGTGGATCTCCTCGGTCATAGAATCATAGAATCACAGAAGATCAGGGTTGGAAGGGACCTCAGGAGGTGATCCTAACCCCAGATGCTTTTGTTTGCTTGTAACCCTTACGCTAAATCCCCAAGAAAGCTATTTTGGGTGCTTACTTTTTGTAATTGTTTCTTTTAAAATCTAGCAAAAGCCTAGGTTCCAGATGCATTTTTTTTCCATTTTGTTTTTAATAAAATTCACCTTTTTTAACAACAGGACTGGATATTTGGTGTCCTAAGAGGTTTGTGTATGTTATTGGATTAGCAGGTAGCACAGCTAATTTCCTTTGTTTTCTTTCTTAGCTCTTCCCCAGAATTCCCAAGTGTTCCTTCCTGGGTCCAAGGTTTTGTGGGGGTTTTTTGTTGGTTTTTTTTTTTGCATTTGGGTGGTGGCATCATTTGCCAAGCCAAGGTCAGAGAAAAGTTGTAACCTTGGGAGTTTAATACAAGCCTACAATGGCCAGTATTAATGTTTAGAATCCTTGCAGGCCCCCACCTTCTGCACTCAAAGTGACAGAGTGGGGATTTAGCCTTGACAGCATCCAAGGATCGCATCAGCCCTTTTGGCCACAGCCTGAAACTGGGAGCTCTACAGTGTCTCTTAAATCCTTTTCCGGGTCATTGTGTTCCATAATATAGTGCCCTAGTCTGAGGGTCGGGCCTGCATTCCCTGTTTTGAGAAGCTAACTTTGCATGTGACTGTATTAGAACATTTTGTTTGCATAGGCACAGCTCATCAAATGTTCCCAACCACTTGGTATGCCTGCCTTAGCCTCCTCTTTGTAACCACTACACCAATCTTTGGGTCATTCACAATTTTATCTGCAGTGATTTTCTAGTTGCTTCCAGATCATTGATTAAAATATTGAATAGCATCAGGCCTAGAACTGATCCCTGCAGAACCCCCACTAGAAATGCCTCCATTCACTGACAGTGGCCCATTGAATCTGCTTTCTGAGATCTGTCAGTTTGCCAGTTTTTAGTCCATTTAATATGTACTCCACTGGTATTGTGGAGTGTTCATTATTTTCCCCTACAAAATCAAATGCCTCCGAGAAATCAAAGTCTATTGCATCTGCATGGTTCCCTTGATCAGCCAAAAGCCTACTCTTATTAAGGGATGAAATGAGATTTATGTCACAAGACCGGTTTTCCATCCATCGTGTTGTTGACGGCATTAATTATATTCCAAACTTTTTTTGAACTAATCAAATATCAGCTTTTCCATTATTTTCTTACCTTGTCAAATCTTTTTTTTCAACATTACCTTTATTTTTTATAATTTACATTTAACAGAGAACTGTTCTTTCTTTCTTTCTTTCTTTCTTTCTTTCTTTCTTTCTGTGGCCTCTGCTGCCTGATTGTTGACTTCTGGTTCACAATGAGATGTGTGATTGATTAGTCAGTTTACAATTTTGGTGTTCAACTCTTGATGCTAATGGACTGGAAAGTATTTCCTTTCCTAATGTGAGCTTCTTTCCTAATGCAGAACAAAACTATTTCTTGAACACATCTACCTGTTCTCCAACATAAACAAGTTTCCTTTCTCCCTGTAGGAATCATCCTAAACATTTTTTAGGATTTCTTTCATTCATAATATACTTAATGACCTCCTTTTTCTGATATTTAGCTCCACCAATAATTGATATTTCCATGATATTTTTATCCCTCATTAATTTCCATAACTTCCAATCTGTATTATTTCCTATTTTCCCTTTTCCCCTTTTGTTATATAGTACTCCTTCTGCCCGATTTCTGCCTTCTATTTAATAAAGTCTTCTTAAAGAACTCCCAATTTTCATTCACATTTTTCTGTCTAAATTTTCCCTCCTAATCAATTCTGCTGATAATTTGCCTCCGCTTGCTGGAATTAGCCCTTTTGAAGCACAAAGTGTCTCATAAACCCCTTGTATATCAGCTGTATCCTTTATGGACACTGGGTGACCAAAACTGATCGCGTGTCCAGAGCAGGTGATTCTCCTCCCATTCCTGATGTATCCCAAGATTGTCTTTGTTTTGGCCACCATTGCAAATGAGCAGGTGTTTCCATGGAACTGCTCTAAATGACACTCTGGTCTTTTCCCTGAGGTCTATTCTAGTTGGGATGTTTTCCCCAGCACATGTCTTGGCAAAGGTTTGCTTTTTGTCTACACTCAGATTTTGAGCCACCAGGTGAGTGTGCAACTCCCTACAGCATGCACCTTCTAGCCTGGCTCTAATTGCATTAAGGAACGATAATGCATAACCAGTATCCACACTAATATTTTTCCGGCTGGTGCCTATTAATATTTCCCACATCACGACATTATTGACACATGGAGTAATATAAAATATGGAATTGGCATTAATAGGGTCATTTGTTCATAATACATTTCTCTGAATAATAAAAATGTTATTTTTCAGTGTGTGAAGAGCAACCAATCTGCTTCAACCATGAGAACACACTCCAGTAGTGCACGTAGTGTCTCATATTAACATTATCTCTCCATATAGGCATTTGTATTGTGACCATCTCCCTTGACTCTGGGCACATACAGGAAGCCAGTAGAACGTACAGTACACGCAGGAGACACCGTTCAGCCTCAGAGTTGGACACCTTCTCCCCTACTCCATGTCAGATTCCAACACAACTGACTTCACCAACCCCTCCACCTTCATCCTGATGGGCATTCCTGGCCTGGAGGCAGCCCACGTCTGGATCTCCATCCCCTTCTGCGTCATGTACGCCATAGCCATCCTGGGTAACTTCACCATCCTGTTCATTGTGAAGATGGAGAAGAGCCTCCATGGGCCCATGTACTATTTCCTCTGCATGCTGGCCGTCACCGACTTGGTCATATCTACGTCCATCCTGCCCAAAATGCTGAGCATCTTCTGGTTCAATTCCAGAGAGATCAATTTCAGTGCTTGCCTCATCCAGCTGTATGTCTTTCACTGCTTCTCAGGGATGGAGTCTGGGATCTTCGTGGCCATGGCTTTGGATCGCTACGTGGCCATCTGTGATCCCCTAAGACATGCAACCACTCTGACAAACCCCGTGGTGGCTAAGATTGGCCTGGCCTTAGTGCTGCGCGGTGGGATACTCGTATTGCCCTATCCCCTCTTGTTGAGGCAGTGGCCATATTGCAGAACCAACGTCATCCCTCAGCCGTACTGCGCCCACATGGCCGTGGTGAAGCTGGCCTGCGCTGACATCCGTGTCAGTAGTTACTACGGACTCTTTGTTCAGTTCTGTGTGATGGGTCTGGATGTGATTTTTATTGTCATGTCGTATACCCAGATCCTCAGGGTCATCTTCAGCCTTCCCACAAAGGACGCCCGTCTCAAGACTTTTGGGACTTGCACCTCACACCTCTGTGCCATCTTAGTCTTTTACATCCCAAGCCTCTTCTTCTCTCTCACTTACCGATTTCACCAGAATGTGCCCCGGCATTTCCATGTTCTCATTACCAATGTGTACTACTTGATGCCCCCCACGCTAAACCCCCTCATCTATGGTATGAGGACCAAACAGATCCGGGGCAGGCTGCTCCGGATCTTTACTCATAAAGGCACCTAAGTTTTCTCCTGATCCCCTGACTCTCTGACCGAGTCCGTAAAGAGCTATCTGATGACATGGTGCTGGGCCTCTTCTCTGAATTACTGACTGGGCAGTCAGAGAGACATTAAACCCTTTCCTGTCCTTACTATGCATTGTCAGCTGGGGAATCGGTCTGGGTACAAGTCATTAAGTCATAGGGTTTCCACCTTTCTAATTTCTGGTAACTGGTCCCCTGAGGCTCCTGTGCCCTCTCTTACTATTCCCTCAAGGCTCTGCCTCCTACCCCACCTATTCCCCCAAGTCCTGCTCCC